AAAAGTTGTTATGTTGTTTAAATAAGTTAAAATAAATGTTGTGGGTTAGTTAGTGAATTTAGTTGTCGGAATTGTTGACACCCAATTTTGGCCAACATTTTCAAAATTCGTAACTTTTAAGTTTTATTTATTTAATAGTTCAAAATAATTTTTTTAATAAGTTTATCGATAACTATCCTTATTTATCAAAATTTAGGATTTTTTATCAGTTAATTTTAAAATTGCATTTTTACAAGTCATTAGTTACGTTCATTATTTTTTTTTATATTCATTTTATTCGTTATATTTATTAATATTCATTCTGATATTTTGCACAATCTAGAAATTCATTCAAATACAGATATTTTATTTGATCGATAATTTTGGGCCACAATCCCAAGCCCACAAATTGAGCTCAATTAACAATTATTTCCTATATAAGTTTTGGTTAGGTTAATAAATAGGGGTGGTGAAATAAAAATTAGGATTGGTGTATAATTTTCAAAATGAGTATGGATGTATTTTTTCCTTTTTTTGAGCCGCCAAGGTCTCACCACAGCCATCCAAAAACCCACTTCGTCCTCTTTTCCGGCGAGACTCCATCAGAACCAACCCACAACAACTCCAAACAAATCCAAAACCACCGAAAGACCATTGTCCTCCCTTACTACGTGCTACGATTCACTGACCAGGGAAGCCATTGACGCCGCTCTGAAGAAACAACCATTTTCCCTCTTCTGTTTATTTCTCTTGCGGCTAGCTCTGGCGAAGAGCTTCAAGCTCCGATGAACCGGAGTAAATCCAGTCGCGACTCAGTCCCCTTCCCCTTCCCCTTGACGAGTTTGGTTTGTTTTGCAGGTGTAAGATCTCCATCTCCGACGTGACTCCAACACCGGTGAGCGACAATCAGATCTGGCTTGAATTGTGACCTATTCTGTCTTACCATTGAAGAAATAAAGCTCAAATGAAGGTCTGTTCATTTTCTTTTTCCATTAATATTCTTCCTTTTTATTGTTCTGTTTCTTTTCAATAATGATATGATCTTTGGTATCTTAATTAGTTGTTAGTGTCTGATTTCTTTAAAATCCTTCATGTTGTGGTTAATTGCTAATTATGTATTTAGTTGGTTGTTTTAACACTATCTTTCACCGTGATTTGTTACCACTTTGTCATTATCTTTGAATGTTGATTTTTATTTCTTTATTATATTATCAAATAAGTTAGGCAGTATTTAGATTTTATATTTTTCTTTATTATTTTTCGTATATTTGATGTTTTGGTTGTCGAGTTGCCCAAATATTTAATTTCCACTACATTAGCTGTTACTAGCTTATCATAATTGTTGTTGTTATTAGATTTTATTTATATATTTTCTTTCAATGCTATATTCACATAGATGCTACTTTGATTTATTTATTTATTTTAATT